GTTTCCCTTTGAATATTCCTTAAATTTTATAAATACCTTTGAGTATTTCGAAAGCCCCATCAAAACGGTAACAGTATGTTAATCCTTGTAATATACTCTCTGACAATGATTTCTTACATGAAATTAATGGAGAACTTTTATTCTTACTTCAAAACAAAGATTTTTATGCTTTACATGGATTACAAAGAGACTTTCATAAAGCATAAGATCAAGTTACGTTATAGTATAGTGATTGTTTTTGAGACATTTCTGCATTTTTGTAAATAATATTAACAATCTTTTGTTATAGAACTCGGACGAGTAAAGATTGATCATGATAAGTTCTTCAGCAATTTTCTCTTCTACTGTAAGGGGAGCATCATTTATCATGTGATATTTTTTTATTATAAGAAAAATCCACTCATCCTTCTGATATTACTATGTAATCACATGTATATTATAAAGTAATATTTGATCACATGTCAATTAGATGATTAAATGCGTCATGAAAGCAATCAATTAAACTTTGAATTTAAAATGATCAATCAGACTTTGGATCTAAAAAGATCAATCAAATCTTGAATTAACGATCATGCAAAACTTTTTATCAATTCTCAAGTTTAATAAAGTTTTTTTTATAAAGAGCCTCAAGATTTGTATCAAGAATTTTGTAATATCTTTGCATATTATAAACAAGCAGTTCTTTGTGATCCCAAACTCAATCATCAAAAACTTATACAAGAATGTGTAACAGCTTGAAAACAAGCTAAGCACCAAGACAAATCATTAATTTATAACAAAATAAATGAATATTTTAACACTGTCTCTTCTCATACTCATTTCTACCAATCTTTCTTTATATAATATAATGTAACAAACTCTAATTCTAGTCATATTTCTTTATTTTTCTCCCCTCCTATATTAAGAAATATATCTTCCTCACAACAAATTCTGTCAAAAAATACTGTAGTCCAATATAACACAATGAAGAAAATTGAAACAGCTACTAAAAATCTGTTAAAATATAAGTGAATATATTCACTTACAACAAATAAATCACTCAAAGAATTCTTGGAATCAAACATTATTGATAAAAGAAATTTAATAAAGAATCAGAAAATATGACTTGAAAAGCTGAAACATCATGTTGATATACAAGCAAAACTTGTAGCAAAAAAAGCAAAATTATTTGAAAAAGGAATAATCAAGAAGTATGATGGACCTGGAAGACCATCAATGGCAATGTGTTATTCAGACTTTTGGGATAAAATCTATAGCTGGGTTGAATTTGAAGCTGTTCATACAAAAAGAAGAAAAACCATTATCAAAGTATGAATAATAAAGTATCTATGCCAAGCACTCGAGAAAAAATATAATATTTACCTGTCTCATCAGTACTTATCCACATACCTCAAATCTCGTTATTCACATACTTTTGCTGCATGTTACCTAAGGATGCTTGCCTAAATTCTTTCAGAAAAATATTGTTATAATTTGACAGGTTACACACTAATTGTTAATTAGAATTTTGATATAATTTCGGTTATGACAGATTTCAAAATTTGTCAGAATTTTGACAGGTTATTTACTAATAGTTTATTATAATTTTGACAGAATTTTAGCGATCACTAAGAGATTTCAGCAAGCAACTTTAACGTCATCATCATTACCCAGTCAAAATTGGTTTTGTCTCCATAACATGAACAGAAATGAAATCCCATACTAATAAATATTATTGCCTAACCTCTGTTAAAGCTGTTAGGATTTTTGCAGATAAAATCATTATTATCTTCCAGGATGACAAGGCAAAAATTGATTTGGGCATTCTGATAGTTGATCATACCTTTAAAACTATACAGACAGTTAGTGAGCCTGTTTCTATTGAAGATTATAACTTTCCAACTGATAGTAAGATAAAACTTATACCTTCAGTTTATCTTGTTATTGATCCAGTTGATTCAAATAATGCTCTACAATCAGGTCAACTTGCAATTTTCATGAGATCTGAGTATTTTGTTGGTATAACATTATCAACTCATATATCAGATCTTCAAAGTATTGTTGCAAATCAATATTTTGTCAGAGCTTTAACAAAAAATGATCAAGTTAGACCAATCTGAATTCTTCTTGTTAACGGGGGATCTGATAAAAATCCAAGATATATAAAGAATATAATTGAATATTGCAAACTTTTTTGTAGCCTCAACCTCGACTATTTAACTGTTTGTACTGTTACCATTTCATCAAAAAAATTCATAATTACTTAATTATTGATCAACAAAAATTAAATTATATTACAAAGAACATTAAATATTACATCATGTAACTCAATGATGATCAAATTAATTCACTCCTTTATTTTTGCATTATATCCCATTACATAATTATATTTAGTGTATATCATTACTATTTTGATATCTAGATTGTAATACCTAAATATTAATTATATTTTTGTATATTTTTTGTTTTATTTTCTTTTACTGTTGTACTAAAATCATTTATTCTTGTATTTTTCACTATAAAACTTATATTTTTA